TCCGACTCGATGGCACCTAACAACAACAACAACAACATGCTAAAACATTGTGAAAAATGTAACCAATGTCACTGAGCAAGTTGTGTAGAAATTGCTGAAGTGGACCCTAATTTTCAAGGTAAATTTTACTGAAAAAAATAAAATAATAAAATATCCTGCAAGTCATTTTATTGTTTAAAATTCACATAAACATCAAATATGTTCAAAATCTCTTCTCCCCAAAATGCTTAGATACTTTCCAGGATAATGTTGTAAATTTAAATGAAACACTTTTGCAATTTTTATCAAAATTTTTTAATATTCTTTTTAAAATGAAAATATATTACATTATCTTAAAGGTGTCCTGGTATAGCGCTGTGGTTTAATGCGCCAGATTGCTAAACCATTTGAACTGCAAGGTTGGCGGTTCAAGCTCACCTGCTGCTCCTTGGAAACTCTATACAGGGTTGCGATGGGTCGGAATTGACTTGATGACACTTAACAAGAACATCTTAAAGAATAAATTTTGACGATTGTGTGTGTGTGCATAATGGTAGGATAATGGTTACGAGACAGGCTGCAGTTCAAAACTACCAACTGTTCCATGGGAGAAAGAAAGGCTTTCTGCTCCCAGTCTTGGAAACCCCATACCAGGTTGTTATGAGTCAGAACCGACTCCATGACACATAACCACCAACCAACCATACAGATATAAGTAACTTTAACACAGTTAGATTATGTAAAGTGATACCTAGAAATGAAGGTAAAGCAATTTTGGTGTGCTTGCACATCACAACAACAACAACAACACAGAAATAAACCCGACAAAGACAGAGGATCATTTTAGTGTAAATATCGATGATACTACAATGCTTGCACTTGTTGATGGAATTCTATTCAGCTGTTTTGCCATCAGTACATAACTGCCTGGAAGAGCGGCTCACTTTAGTTTCCACAATTTCACTTGCGTTTCTGTACCACAAACATTCACATTACCTCTTGGACCCTTCAGACCATCAGGGCCTCGAACACCGGGGTGGCCAGGATCTCCTGGACTCCCTCTCTCTCCTGGTGAACCCGGATAGCCCAGACCTGGAGGTCCCTCAGGCCCTTCTCTGCCCGGAAGCCCAGAAAGCCCAGGAAGCCCTTTACCACCTGGGATTGCATCTTCATGACCTCCCTGCAAATGTTTAAAGCATGAGTCAATTGTCAGCCTTTAAAAGTCCATGAGTTCAAAGCTTCATGCAGATTATAGCAACACATAAAAAAAAAAAAAAAAAAAAAAAAACCAATTTCAAGAGAATTCAGCAGTAAAACTAGTTGCCCAGAGTCCATTCCAACCCATGTGGTCCCATGCATATCAAAATAACAATAAATTCCAGAATGGCGAAATTTTCAGACATAGATCGCTAGGCCTTTCTTCTCAAGTGTCTCTGAATACAAAAACCCAAACCCACTGCCATTGAGTCAATTTCAACTCACAGCGACTCTATAGGACGGAGTGGAACTGCTCCATAGGGAGTTTGAGGCTGTACATCTTAATCATCTTTCTTCTAAGGAGCAGCCGGTGAGTTTGAAAACTGACCTTTGGGTTAGCAACCAATCCTTAGCCCAATGCACCACCAGGGCATCCGGTGGTACCTCTGTGTGTACTCAGACATCCAAGCTTTCAGTTAGCAGCTGTGCATATTAACCATTTGTATTGCCCAAAACTCTACTACATCCATTGTTGCTAAGTGCTGTCCAGCCAGTTATGACTCATAGCAACCCAGTCGAGGGTTCCCAAGAAGTAACTTGTGGGTTTGAACCACCAACCTTAAGGTTAGTAATCCAGTGCCGATCCGACAGCGCCACACCAGGACTCCAATGATGGTCGCTGACCCTAGACTTTACCACCCAATCAGTTTTGACTCATAGCGACCCTGTACAGGATTTCCGAGGCTGTCAGTCTTTACGGGAATAGAAAGCCCTTTCTTTCTCTCACGGAGCAACTGGTAGATTCAAACTACTAACCTTGGGATTAGCAGTCCAGCTCGTAATTCACTAGGCTACCAGGATTCCTCATCATAAGGGTCAGTTGTTGCTGTTAGGTGTTTCTGAGTTAGTTCCAACTCATAGCCATTGTAGACACAACAGAAAAAGTCCTCTGTGGCCCTGTGCCATCCTCACAATGATTGTTACACTTGAGTGCCCTGCTGCTGCCACTGTGCCCGTTCATCTCATTGGGGGTCTTCCTCTTTTTCTCTGACCCTAGACTTGACCTATCATGATGTTCTTCTCCAGGGACTGGTCCCTCCTGATAATATGTCTAAAGCAAGAGACATGAAATCTCACCATCCTGGTTCTTAAGAGCATTCTGGAAGTACTTCTAGCATATAGTTCTAGCAGTTGATGGTAGTTTTAATTGCCTTCTCCCAACAACATAACTCAAATGGGTAGGAAACAATGTTTCTCAGTTAGTTTTAAATCTTTTTCTAAAGTTGTCCTAGAGAAAACTCTTCTTCACAGTTTAATATTTCTGATACAAGTTTTTGAACAGTGTACTTAGGCGCCATTGAGTTGGTTCCGACCCATCACGACCCTACAACAGAATGAAATACCACCCGGTTCTGCACCATCCTCACAATTGCTGCGATGCTTGAGCCCATTGTTGCTGCCACTGTGTCAATCCATCTCATTGGGGGTCTCCCTCTTTTTTGCTGACCCTACACTTTACCACGCATGATGTCCTTCTCCAGGGACTGGTCCTTCCTCATAATATGTCCAGAGCATTGGAGATGAAGTCTTGACATGCTGGCTTCTAAGGAGCATTCTGGTTGCAGTTCAACACAGATTTGTTTGTTCTCCAGGCAGTCCATGGTACTTTTAAGATTCTTCTCCAACACCATAACCCAAATGCATTGATTCTTCCATGTTCTTCCTTAGTCATTGGCCAACTTTCACATGTATATGAGGCTACTGAAAATACCAGGGCTTGGATCAGGCACACGTTAGTCCTCAAACTGATACCTTTGCTCTTCAACACTTTTAAAGAAGTCTTGTGCAGTAGATATGCCTAGTGCAAGATGTCCTTTGATTTCTTAACTGTTGTTACTTCCATGAATGTTGATGGTGGATCCAGGCACAATGAAGTCTTTCATAATTTCAATCTTTTCTCCATTTATCATGATGTTCTTAATTGGTCCAGTGGTGAGGATTTTTGTTTTCTTTTCATTGAGGTGCAACTCATACCGAAGGCTGTGGTCTTTGCTCTTCATCAGTTAAGTGTTTTAAGTACTCTTCGCTTTCAGCAAGTAAAGTTGTATCATCTGCATGTTGCACATTATTAATGAGTCTTCCTCCAATCCTGATGACATGTTCTCCTTCATAGAACCCAGTTTCTCATATTACCTGTTCAGCATACAGACTGAATAAGTATGGTGAAAGAATACAACCCAGGCACACACCTTTCCTGATTTTAAGCCATTCAGTGTCCCCTTGTTCTATTTAAACTACTGTCTCTTGGTCTATGTATAAGTTCCTCATGAGCACATTTAAGTGTTCCAGAATACTCATTCTCTGTAATGGTGTCCATAGCTTGTCATGATCCACACAGTTAAAATCCTTTGCATAGACAAGTAGCAGATGCAACTTAAGATGTAATTTCATCAATAGCAGACATAATTTCAGAGTGATTAACTTAGATCTTTCTCATTTTACACACACCTACCTCACTGCTGATGCTGCTTACAGCAACCTTATGAGACAGAGTTGTTGTTGTTGTTGTCAGGTGCCATCGAGTCGGAACCCACTCATAGCAACCCCACGCACAGCAGAACAAAACAATGTCCGATCCTGGGTCAACCTCACTACCGCTGCCACACTTGAGTCCATCAATGATGCCACCTGGCCAATCCATCTCGTTAGGGGTCTTCCTCTTTTTCTCTGACCCTCCACCTTACCCAGCATGACATCCTTCTCCAGCGACTGTTTCCTCCAGACAGAGTAGAACTGCTCATTCTTTCAGGGTAGCAAGGAATGTTCTAAGAGAATTTCACTGTGAAATTTCACCACATCCACCCTCCAGACTTTGCTTTTCCTTCTCCAGACTTTTTTGTTCCCCAAACTCAAAGAACATTGAAAAGGAACTCAATTTAAGTCCTGTGAGGATGCCTCAAATCCAGTTTTGACTTAGTATAAATCCAAGAGTGCAGATTCCTCAGGGCAGGATTAGAGAGCTGGAAACACTGTCTACAGAAATGTACAGACCTAGAGGGAGAATGTGTGGACAAACAACAGCTCCACATCTTGACACTTTTGTTAATAAAGATTTTTATGGGGACCTGGAGTGGTACTGTAGGATAAGCACCAGACTGCTAACTACAAGGCAGTTCAAACTCACCAGGTACTTGTCAGAAACCCTATACAGGGTTGCTATGAGTTGAAAATGACAGCATTTAACAACAATGGTTTCTATGACATATCCTCAATGCCATGGGCTGTCAAAAGAACAAACAGATCTGTGTTGGTTGAAGTGCAGCCAGAGTGCTCCTTGGAGGCCAGGATGGCCAAACTTCATCTCTCATATGTCGGACATATTGTCAGGAGGAACCAGTCGCTGGCGAAGGATATCATATTTGGTAAGGTATAGGGTCAAAGAAAAAGAGGAAGACCCCCAGGGAGATGGAATGGAAAAGTGGCAGCATCAGTGGGCTCAAGCGTGGCCACAATTGTGAGGTTGTCCCAGAATCAGGCAGTATTTCATTCTGTTGTGTATACGGTCACGATGAGTCGGTACTGACTCGATGGCACCTGACAACAACAGCACAGTTTCTGAAATGAAAACAAACAATGAGTGAAACAAAGATGGTCTCATCTAAAGTAGAAATCACTCACATACTGGTCATGGGTCAAAAGACCAGAGGGGTTTGTAGGGCATGGGGCAGGGGAAGGACATCAATGAGCCATGTCTCTCTGCCACGCCGAGAGAGAAGACACAATGAGTGAAAGCAGATTGCCACCGGAGCTGTTCTGTGGAGACACCACTGACGTCATCTAAGCGTGAAGTCCAAGATTCTCTTATTCACGTATATTTTGCCTGAAGCCAAAGATTCTCTTATTCACGTATATTTTGCTCTAAAATCAGAGCATGGTCCATCCCTATTACAACACCCAGTGGTCTTCCACTCACAAGGCAGGCAGTATAAGTTGGGGCCTTTATAATCCCGGAGACCAGGGCTTCACTTCCTGCTTAGACTGTAAAGATGGTTGACCCTGAGCACCACACTGGAAGCCTCCTTTCCTTACCATGAACTGGAAAGAGAATTGCTCTAGTGGTTACTGCTACACGTGAAAATGAAGGAGCCATTGGCCAAAGAGCCAGGGCTGGTGGCTGGAACTTTGATTATTCCTTAAGGCATCTCCTGCCACCTCTCCCTCAGCTGTTCACACCGCTTTGTGCGCTGCATCCACGTCAGTTACGGAGGGGGACTGATAAGAATGTCCCAGCCGTCCGTCTTTGTTTCAAAGAAAGTGATGTGCCATTTGTTAACATACAAGAAAAATATTGAAAATATATTGAAAAGAGCAATTTGAAATTATTTTTGGCTTATGTTGCAGTATTTATTTTCTTGTATTAGAAAAGATTCCTTTGTAGAGAAAAAAAAATGTATCTTTCATTAATGCAATGACCTATTTCTCCTTTTTGTACATTGTCCATGTTGGCAACCCTTTAACAAGCAATAGAATGTGTGGCCACCGTGGTGCAGCGGATGCCCGCTGTGCCCTGCATGATTCTGGGTTGCTGCTGCTGCATAGCTCCTAGCCCCATCCTGTCCTGCTCACTCCATGGGGGCTTCCTGACCCCAGCCCCTGTCAGGGCCTGTGTCTTAAAGAGCCCTTTGTGCTTCTCGTGTGTTGCCAAACACAATTAATAAAGCAATGTTTTCGGGGGTGGGGTGAGAACTGAAGGAGCAGGTAGCACAGTGGGCTGCTGAGTGTTGGGTTGCTAACCTTAAGCTTGGCAGTTCAAATCCACCACTTGCTCCATGGGCGGGAGAAAGATGAGACAGTCTGCTTGTGTAAGGATTTACAGTCTCAGACACCCTAGGAGCAGTTCTACTCAGAGGGTCCCTAGGAGTGAGAATCCAGGGCAGTGGGCATACTTAAAAACAGTGGTGCAAACGGCTCATGTGTGGCTGCTATGTGAAGGGCTGAAGGCTTGATTCACCCAGAGGCACCTCACATGCTGACTTACACATAAAAACATCTAGTCCAGTTTCTGTATGTAACCTGGAAAGCGCTCAAAGGAGCCTCACATATCCAAGATATTGTCAATTCCCAAACATCAGATCATGCCCCGTATTCTTTTCTTGTTCCCTTCCTTATCTACACAGTTGCCACTCAAACCTGGATTGAAAACTTGGAAATCGCATATATCAATGGCATTTTCCATTAGCAAGCACATCAGTTCACTGGGGTTGCAAAACTAGTTCACCCTTTCCTTGTTACTTCCCCTCGTGGGCTTCTTCACCAGGGCCCAGAATGGAAAAGAATCCTCAGGACCTGCGTCCTGCACTTTACAGAGCCCATTAGATAGGACCAGACGTGAGTGGACGTTTTGCAGAAACAGTGGTCCCAGAAGGAAAGAAGCAAGAGAGTGACACAAAGACTGGGACAGGAGATGAAACCAGCACTCAGGGTTCAGACCATACCTTTCGTCCCCATCATCTGTCTGTACTGCAGAACTGAAAGGTGACGCTCCAATTTACAGCATGTTGACACCATACTGAGGAACTCCTTGGTAAATGAAGAACTGATTGTGTAACCATAAAAGAAAGATAAAGTCTACAGCGAAGAATACATACGGGAGGTCCTGGGTCTCCTCTTCTTCCAGCATGTCCATCCTGACCGTCCTGTCCCTGCTGCCCTGGGAATCCTGGGGACCCAAGAGGACCTCTCTCTCCTTTGTGCCCTGGGAACAGAAGTTAAGAGAGATGCAAGCCCTTGTCAGGAAGGGGTGAGACAGAAAGGACTAAAGAAAAAGCAAGAATGTTGACTTTGTGCATGCTTAAAGAGTTTTCTCTGAGTGTTTCAGCTGCTCAAACTCACGCAAAGATAACCATGCAAAAGTCAAAAGGAAGGCCGACAATTGCCAAATCCAATGAGTTACTTTATTTGAGAAGTGTTCCTTTCCCCATGTCAGCACGAAGTTGCCCCTTCCTGCCTTTTGCCAAACATGGTATTCCATTCCCTGGCCATAATGAAGGATGGTTCTCAGTTGGGCACATGGTCTGAGCAAATGTAATTCTGATCTTTGTTTCTAATTGCAACTAACAATGCATTGCTTTCTAAGAATTTGGGGCTGCCTGGGGTCATGTACCCCACTGCCTAGAGAAAGTCAGTCCATGGGAAGAATGCAGATGGCATAATGAAAGATGAAAGACACAGGGAAAGCCTATTTTCTGAAAATGCAGTTTTGTCATGTTTTCTGAGGCCATTTGAGGAATGGATCTCTTTGATCCATTCCAGTGTCAACCTTATATCTAATCTTTCCAAGGTCAGTTGCTTTCACTTTTTCCCTTTAACACCTGTCAATTGAATTTCTGTCACTTACAACCAAACCACTCCTGACTAACACCGGATAGTGGAATGCAGCGAATAAGCACTAGGCAAGTTCAAGGAGGCCTTGTTTCAAATCCAACTTCGTGACAATGAGTCTGGGTGCAAGACTACAGGAGCTTTGATGTTTTCAAACATGAAACAGGGAATCTGGGGCTCACCATTCATAAGGCCCTATGAGAAGCCACGGTCAGTAAACACAAGATCAGTAGTTTAAACCCACCAGCTGCTCTGCGGGAGAAAGTTGAGACACTCTGCTACCAAAAGATTTATGGCCTCAGAAACCCTATACAGGGTTGTTATGAGTCAGAATCAACTTGACAGCAGTGGGTTTGGGTTTGGGATTTATACATAAGACCCTATGAAGGGCAGGGATTATTATTTTTTTTTTTTTTAAAAAAGCAACCTCAATCATCCTAGGTCTTGTGATTGAATTGATCTGTGGTCACCAGGGAAAGGAATACAGACATCATTCTATTGCGCTTTGCAGCTACTGCAGGTTTTTGCAAATGGAAACATTATGGCAATTCTTTATCAAGCAAGTCTATCAGCTCCATTTACCCAACAGCCTGTGCGCTGAGCCACACTTCGGGAATTTTTACAATATTTTAAAACTCTCATAATGCTATTGCACACTTAATGTTGGTGGTGGTGGTGTTAAGTGCCATTGAGTTGGTTCCAACTCATAGCGACACTGTATAGGGTTTCCGAGGAGCGGCCAGTGAGTTTGAACTACTGACTTTGCAGTTCAAGCCAGCCTTGCAGTCCAGCACTTATCCTACAGCGCCATACCAGTACTGCCTACGTGTTCTGTGTATCGGGAAATAAAATAAAAGAATCATGGGACTCACTTTATTGTGATACTCACTTTATTGTGGTGGTCTGGAACCAAAGACACCATATCTCTGGGTACACATGAAGAAGAGAATGGTTCATGCATCATTCATAAAGAAGCAGGGAGCTAAGTGATAAATGACGCTCACCTTTTACTCTTGAAACAACCATGTCGCCCTTGTCCCCTCTTGTTCCAGGTGGGCCTGAGGCACCAGGTTTCCCCTTGGTGAAAAATAAGAACAAATTAGCTTAGTTTTCATGGGTCTAAAGGGATTCACACATCTGTCTATCTGACTTCCTTCTTCCTCCCTCCTATCTCACTTGCATTCTTGGTCTCTCCCTTCTTTTTGCCTTCTGTGATCCTATCTTGGTGTAAAGTCCTCCCTTCCAAAATTGAGGCTTTTGGACATCACGTGAAAACGTGAAATTTGAATATGGTCTGTACCTGAGTTAATAGAAATTGCCAAATCCTGTCTCCTGGATTTGGCAATGTACTGAAATACTGTGGTTAGGTAAGATATTATCTCTGAGGGATGTTGGGGTGTGGCAATGTACTGTGGTTAGGTAAAATATTATCTTTAAGGGACGTTGTGGAAAACATACATGGGGGCTTTCTATAGGATGTGTGCAACTTCTTGTGAGTCTTAAACTGTCTCAAAATAAAAAACTAACTAAAAAAAAAAAAAAAAGTATCTTGGGCTTTCTATGGTAGAATTAGGAGGAGAAGGATGGGAGGTTGGTAGTAACAGGAGTAGCCACTAGTGTTTAAGCTAGAGGCTAAGAAAACAGAGATGATCAAGACCTGGGAAGAACTCCAACATTGACGGAAACTGACGAGAAAGGAAGAAAAGCAAGGATGTTGTCAGTACATTTCCTCTGTGTATCAAAGGAACAACTTATTTAGACTGATAGGCTCCTCATCTTATGACCTCGGCATGGCTGAGGCTAGACTATTGGGTCATGGTTTTGTAAGTGTTACATGTGATTGACTATCAAGCCATGCCAAACATCTGGAAACATACTGTCCGTAGATTAGAGTAAGTGAATATTGTATCTAAAACAAGGGGACTTCAAAACAAATTCTATTATCATTTAATTCCATTTTTTCCATGAACTTTGTGAATTCCCCTTTCCCAATGGGATTATAGAATGGAAGCACCACATAGGCAAAGCGTAAGCTCTGGTCCCTATTGTATTCTCAGTACCAGGAACTGTCACTGGAACATGGTAGGGGCTCAGTATTAGTGGAATAAAGGAGTGAAGGATGGATGGATGTTTAGTCGTTACTAAATGCATAGGTTCAGAACAGATCACATGCCAGGCACATTACAACTCGGTGTCAGCTGTCTCTGAGAACTAGCAATGTAGTACTGTAAGAGTTACTCACTAGCAGTCCTGGAGATCCTTCCATACCCGGAAGACCTGGGTCACCTTTTTCTCCAAGCCATCCAGGGAGGCCCAAGTCTCCCTTACTACCCTGCTGCCCTGGAAATCCTGGAGGGCCAGGGGGTCCCATGGGGCCAGGCTCACAGGCACAAAGCCCCTCGTTTCCTAGACAGAAGAGAAAATGCAGTTTTGTCATGTTTTCTGAATAAAATGCACAATAAGGTTCACTATACATCACCTGGTGTAGCGCTGTGGGTTAATGCGCCAGACCGCAAAGCCGTGTGAACTGCAAGGTTGGTAGTTCAAGCTCACCAGCTGCTCCTCGGAAACCCTATACAGGGTTGCTATGGGTCGGAACTGACTCAACAGCACTTAACAACATACATAACCTGGTATGGCACTGCAGGATAAACACTGGACCACAAGGTCAGTTTGAACAGCAAGACTGGTAGTTCAAACTCTCCAGCCACTCCTCAGAAACCCTATACAGGGTCACAATGAGTAGGAACCCACTTGACAGCACGTAACATCAACAATAATACATAACCACTGTCTGGGGGAGGCGGTACTGGTGTGATGTGAACAATTCTTATTAGACAACTGATAACGTATGATGTGGTGTTGTGATGTAGCCTGGGGGTATGGTTGGATCCATGAGGGTGGGTGTAGACAAAGTGTTTTGTTTAATAAACTCATTCTGTGATAAATTCTAGGATGAACATGAATATGGAATTCTGATGAAGAAACTTGAAAATCGCTTAGTTTTACAAATTTTAATGTTTCTTGTTTAGTTTCTATTGTGAAGGAATAAAAAAAAGTGAGTTTAAAATAAATGAGGTTAGAACTTAAACTCTGAACAATTAAAGAAACAAAACTGCATGTGGACAAGGATTATTCATTGCACACTACAGTCCAAGTGATAATTCACCACAAGACACTGATCATTAGGACTTCTCATCTAAAATAAATAAACAAACAAAAAATGGTCTTTCTGGATAGCACTGGTATTCTCATATGCCTGGGAGATGCCGTGGTTACGTGTTTAGCTGCTAAGTGAAAAGCCAGCAGTTCAAATCTACCAGCAGCTCTGCTGGGAAAGATCTGACTGTCTGGTTCAGTAAAGATTCAGACAAACAATCTCACTTCTGTTTAGTCAGTACCAACTCACAGAAGCCTGATAACAGAATAAAGCTGCTTCCTGAAGTTTCTGAGACTGTCAGTTTCCATAAAGCAGATGACCTCATCTACAGCAGTTGAAAGTAGTAAAGATGACAGTCTGGGAAACCTTGTGATGCAGTTGTACTCTGCCTTGTAGGGTTGCTGTAAGACAGAATTGTCTAAGGCACACATCAACAACAGTGATGGTGGTGGTTATGGGCCATGGAGTCGGTTCCGACTCATAGAGACCCTGTACAGGATTTCCGAGGCTGTAAATCTTTACGGGAGCAGAAAACATCATCTTTCTCCCACGGAATTGTTCGCTGGTAGTTTCGAACTGCTGACCTTGTGGTTCGCAGTCTGATTTGTAACCACTACGCTACCAGAACTCCTTACCAACAACAGTACACCCACATAACTAGGTGGGCTATTGTTGTTATGTGCAGCTGAGTCCGTTCTGACCCATGGTGACCCTGTACTGGGTTTCTGAGGTTACCAATCTTTACCGGAGCAGAAAGTCTCATCTTTCTTCCACAGAACAACTGGTGAGTTCAAACCTCTGACCTTGTAGTTTGCAGTCCTGTGCTTATCCAACCGAGCCACCTGCTCTCACTAGGTGGACTAGGTGAGTAAAAAAAAAAATCAGATGTGAAACCTAACCTAAACCATGGACTTTAGCAAATAAAAATGTATCAGTATTGCATCATCAATTGTAACAAACACACCACAGGAATGTAAGATGTCAATCATGGGAAAGACTGTGGGCAGCAGGGAGAGGGACATTATGGGAGCTTTCTAGTTTCTGTATAATTTTTCTGTAAACCTGAAGGTGTTCTAAAAAATAAAGTCTATTTAAATGAAAAAAAAAAAAAAAAAGATGCCACACAATTTAGGGTGGAAAAATAAAAGATTGTAAGCATCTGATGAGTCTGGGAAATTGGGGTGCTCACAGCGAGAGACAGAGGTAAATTAGTAATACTCTCCTGTCTGTACTGCTCTCGAGGAATCAAGAGGACTTGATGATGAAAGTCACTATTTCGAGGCAAATTCCATGGTATGTGAGTGTCTCTTTTATGAACTAAGATCCTCGTAAGAGGATTAGAGTTTTCTGGTGAGATTTAATCACATCATAAGCACATAATGAGTAACAAATCTGAAGGAAACGCCACATTGCCCCTTTCTGATGTGCGTACACTCCTCTAAGTGTTAGTGCCATACTTGCCTTTGTCTCCTTTTGAGCCTCTTCTTCCTGGGGGACCTAGTCTGCCTTTCATTCCTTGTGGTCCAGGGTGGCCGGCAATGCAGTGTACAACTACGGTGGGTAAGAGGTGGACACAGAAAATCACATGCTTTCTTAGGAATGTCTTCTAACGGTCAGTAGCATTCACATTCTCTTTCCTAAGTTCCCCTTCTTTCTTCCATTCCCTTCCTATGATTCTTTTACTCTGATATAAAATCATACACATGAATAGACCATATACTTGTCATTTCACACATCTGCTACCATAACCATTTATAAAGCCATTCCTAAACTCAGTCTCATTTACTGTTTGGCAAAACAAGGTAATGAAGCACAAAACAAATAAACCAAACGAATAAACAAAAAGCTAAGAGTCAAGGTATGGCAAATGCAGCTTCCAACCCCTTTAATTATCAATCATTTTCTAATGAAGAAAGCATAAAACAGAACATCTCAAAGCTAAATTTCAGACACATCTGAGATAGCAGACAAATCACAAACAGTAAATTTGACTGTCTCCCAAAACACTCATGAAAAAGAAAAGAAGGTAAAAGAATGTCATAAAGAGACACAAGCCCACAGGACAACAGAACAGCCTCAGTAACATCTTAGAAGGACTCAGGAAACGGAATCTTCAGCTGGCTGTGGGAAAGCAACTATTTCCATACACGAAGTTGGCTCTTTGGATATTTGCCTCTATTTTGCTATTCAACAGCACACATTTTCCTTTATCTTTGGACTTCCTACTATAGCAGATGACTTTTTATCCTTCAGACTTCAACTCCAAACCAAGTAATTTCACATACTGTAATTGACAAACTAGTCCAGCCTCAGTTTACTTATTTGAAAAAGAAATTTAATAATAATACTTAACTCCCGAAATATTATACAGCCTTTGAAATGATGGAAGTCTGATTTTCTGAATGACACACAGCAACATCAACTATGACTTAAACACTAAAGAGTAAGAGAGAGGGTCACTCTACCATCTGATCCTGGGGGACCTTGTAGCCCTGGGGCTCCAGGCAAGCCAGGGGGTCCTGGGTGCCCTGGTTTTCCGGGAGCAATGTCAGCTCTCCCAGGAACTCCGGCTGCCCCTGGAAGTCCTGGGTGGCCAGGAAACCCTTGGGCACCAGGGGGTCCGATTATACCTTCAAGAGAAATCAATAATGAAAATAATTCATACTATCAGAGTAAGCTTTCTGAAAAAGAAAGTTCTTAAGAAGGCCATGGAACTTCTTAAAGAAAAAAAAAAAAGTAGTTAAAAGTCCACTGAATATACTATCACGGCCATCAAAATGTCCTGCTTCATTTTAAATCATCACAGCAGTGGCCAGACAGGTTTGGGAAATCAGATTTTCTTACCTTTTGTCCATTCTTTGAGGCTACTGGAAAGAAAACACAGTCAAACAGACTTCAGAGATACTGCAGGTTTGGTTCCAGACCACCATGATCAAACAAATATCACAATAAAGGGAGCCATACACATTTTTTAGTTTCCTCGTGCATATGGAAGCTATACGCACACGATATTGTAGTCTATGAAGTGTACAACAGCATTATTAAAAAGTCTGAAATCTTGTTAGAATGACCAAAATGTGACATGGAGACAGTCAGGGTATGCTATTGGAAAAATGGTGCCGGTAGACTTGCTCGGTGCAGGGTTGAAACAAAATTCAATTTGTAAAAAAAGAAAAAAAAAACAACCATAAAATCTGTGAAGTACAATAAAATAAAGCATGTCTGTATTATTTAATTGGCATGAAATGTTTTCAACTTTTCTGCCTTGGTAACTTGGCAAAAAGAATCTGAATAAACATATTAACACATTTAAGGACCAAAAATATAGGTACATAGTGGTCTATATAGAAAATAAAATCCTACTCTTTTGATGTTGCTGTTGCTGTTAGTGTCATTGAGTCGATTCTGCCCCATGGCGACCCTGTATAGGGTTTCCAAGAAGCAACTGGTGAGCTTGAACCACTGACCTTGCAGTTCAAAAGACTTTGCAGTCTGGTGCATTAACCCACAGCACCACACCAGGACTCTACTCTTTTCATAGTAGCCTCAAAACAATTTCACCATATATGAGGAGATTTCAAAACGTTCATGGAAGAATGAAATTAAAATATAATAGAGTTTTCCCATGAACTTTTTGAAGTGCTCCCCAAAAGCACTGAACCCCAAGGTTGATGGTTTGTACTCACTCCTCAAAAACCCTCACTATGAGTTGGAACCAACACAAAGGCACTTAATAACAACAACAGCAACATACACTATACTATGGGGTCTCTACTAAGTGGCAAAAATGAGATTTAATTCCAAGTGTCCTGATTCCAAAACCTTGTTAATCCTGTGGTAAACACTGTCAATAATTATAAAATAAAAATATGCAGGCTAAGGGCTATAGACATTGGTGTACTTAAAACAAAAAAGAAACGTAGGCTTGTAGATTTGGACGCCATCTTGTTTCACGCTTGCCATCAGAGATAGAAGTATCATCTGCTGTCTGTTGCCTTGCCCCTCCACCAGGATGAATGCTCACCCATTTCCCAACAGGGAGAGAGGGCCACAGTGCCTAGTCCACTGCAGCCTTGACCATCCATTAGTAGGATATGAAATCAACTGAATAAGTAGTGACCTTTATTAGGTTCTCTTCTCAGAAAGAAAGAGTGAAACAGAAAACAAAGCACATCACATGCCCAAAAGTTTTGTTTTCTATGAAAAGTTTGTTTCAATCATGTGTGTATGTGGATAGATATATATGTGTGTGTGTCATGTGTGTATATTTGGTTACATATATACATGTGTGCATAATGTAATACAAATGTTGTTAGGGGCCATCAAGTCAGTTCCAACTCATAGAGATCTCATGCACAACAAAAAGGCACAATGTCTGGTCATTGTAAAATCTAGTAAAGGCCATGTTGTAGGCATGATTTGAGAGCCACTGGGTTAATTCATTAAAATATGGGTTGTGGAACTAAAAGGCTTCTCGTTATCTTTAAAGAGCGCTGGTGGTACAATAGTTAGCACTCAATTGCTACTTGAAATGTCAGTGGTTTGCATCCACTAGCCATTCCATGGGGAAAAGACCTGGTGATTTGCTTCTGTAGAGATTGTTGTTGTTGTTAAGTGCTGTCAAGTCGGTTCTGACTCATAGCAATCCTGTATAGGGTTTCCAAGGACCTTGGAAACCACCGACCTTGCGGTTCAAACTGACCTTGCAGTCCAGCACATTAACCTGCAGTGCCACACCAGGGCACTGCAAAGATTATAAGCCTAGGAAACCACCTAGGAAACCACAGGGAGCAGTTATGCTTACTCCTATGTTCTTGTTGTTAAGTGCTGTCGAGTCAGTTTTGACTCAGTGACCCTGTATAGGGTTTCCAAGGAATGGCTGGTGAATTTGAAGCACTGACCCGTGGTTCAAACTGACTTTGCAGTCCAATGCTTTAGGGATGGTGTAAGTCAGAATTGATTCAATGACACACACCACCAACAACCATTATGCTTCAGTTAGAACCTGCTAGAGACATTTGTTTCTTATTTCACTGGGCTTGAGTTCAATCTGCTGGTGGCACTATTTTATTATTGTTGGGAACTGCAGTTGAGTCAATTCTGACTGGGTTTGAACTGCTGACCTTGTGGTTCGCAGTCCAATGCTAACCCTATAGTGCCATACCAAGAGTCCCTAGGTTATTATGCTGGTGGTGTTGAGTGCTATCAAGTCAGTTCCAACTCATAGCAACCCTGGATAGAGTTTCCAAGGAGTGGCTGGTAAATTTGAACGGTTAACCTTGAGATTCAAACCAACCTTGTGGTCCAGTGCTTCATCACACAGCGCCATACTAGGACTCCTTACGTAAGCCCAAATGGAGACAGCTGAAGACCAGAGTTTTGTGCTTCACCACCAATAGAGTAAGGAGTCTGCGTGATTGACATAGTCCTGGGCCAGTTAACCGTAAGCTTATTATCTACAGATGAACCACCCATACAAAGCTTGGCTACGTCTGCGTTACCAGAGCCTGCAAGGTTGCAGTGACATTCCTAGATTAATCAGGAACTCTGTATGAACAGTTGAATATCTCCAGAAGTAACAAGAGATACAGGCAGGATAAAGTTATATTTATCCAAGACTTTTCTCCTTGCAGGTTTAATCTATTCTCCTGGGACAAAAGAATTCAAATATCCTCTAACCTTCTCTTCTAATCTCACTAAGATTATCAACCAGCACAGCCCTTGACAGAGCTCAATGTACCTATGTCTACAATTCATCAGATATCATTAAATGTCGCTTGACCTATACTTGTTTTCTTTATTTAGGGCAGGGAAGGGGCTGTGCTGTTTTGTTTGTTTTTAACTAAATTTGAATTCAAGTGTTCTTTTTTAACTCATAGATTTTTATTTCTGCATTCCATGTTGTTGTTAAGTGCCGATGAGTCAGTTCCAACCCATACCAATTCTGTGTAGGGTTTCTGAGGAGCGGCTGGTGGGCTTGAACCACCAAACTTGTGAATCAAACTGACATTTCAGTCCAGTGCATTAACCCACAGCACCATACCAGGACTCCATGTAGGAGATTTAAGTTGGGCCTGATCCAAGCCATGGTATTTTCAATAACCTCATATGCATGCGAAAGCTGGACAGTGAATAAGGAAGACCGTAGAAGAATTGATGCCTTTGAGTTATTGTGTTGGTGGAGAATATTGAAAGTGCCATGGGTTGCCCATAGAACCAACAGATCTGTGTTGGAAGAAGTGCAGCCAGAGTGCTCCTTGGAGGCCAAGATGGCCAAACTTTGTCTCTCATACTTCGGACCTATTGTCAGGAGGGACCAGTTGCTGGAGAAGGATATCATGTTTGGTAAAGTGGAGGGTCAGAGAAAAAGAGGAAGATCACCAACGAGATGGGCTGGCCAAGTAGCAGCATCGATGGACTCAAGCGTGGCAACAGTAGTGAGGTTAACCTAGGATTGGACAGTGTTTTGCTCTGCTGTGCATAAGGTCGCTATGGGTCGGTACTGACTTGATGGTACCTAACAACAACAATGACAACATGGATAACATCAAGGACACACTAATTTATGCAGCAGTTCCAGATTTATCTGCATGTGATAATCTGTGAGAAGCCTGTTTACATGCACCGCCTTCAAAAACCCCCGAGATGTTGTGGTTGTCAGGTGTGGTCAAGTTGCTTCTGACCTACAACAGAATGAAACTCTGCCCTGTCCTACACCACACTCACAATTGTTGTATGTCAGCCCACTGTTTCTGCCACTTGCCAATTCATCTCATTGGGATCTCTCTCTTTTTTGCTGATCCTCCACTTTATACCAAGCATGATGTCCTTCTCCAGGGACTTGTCCCTCCTGATAACATGTCCCAAGTACATGAGGCGAAGTCTCATCCTCACTTCTAAGGAACATACTGGCTGTACTTCTTCCGATGCAGAATTGTTCTTTCTTCTGGCAGTCCATGAGCCATTCAATATTCTTCACCAACTCTATAATTCAGATGCATCAGTTCTCCTCATGAGCTCCTTGACTTGCAGGAACGCCCCAGAATTTTCTCCTTTCCAGGTCCAAAAGCTGCATGGTTTTTTGTGGGGGGAGGCTTGGGGTTTTCGTTTCATTGCTTTTGCTTGTTTATTCTTTCTCTTCTTTCTCCTTCGCTTTCCATTCTCTTGAGATTTACCTTTTCTATCTCGGCTTTTGTTTTGCCTTCTTTTCTTCTGTTTCGCATTTCCCCTCTTTTGGGGTTTCTGGTTTATTTTTCCTTTTTGACCTTTCTTTACTACTTCTTCTCTTTCTCTTTTCATCTTCCCTATCCCTGGTACTTCTAAGTATTCTTTTGAATAATTCCTTCCATTTATCTCCTCTTTTACTTTTCTCTTCTATAGCTCCATTTTCCTGTCCCACTATTCTTAAGTACTTTTAAAATTTCTTCCTTTTATTTTTTCTCTTATTTTTCTCATCTGTTGTTGCTGCTGCTGCCTGTTTTTATTTCTTATTCCTCTTTATTATCTTCTCTTTTCATCATGCTCCTTGTTTGTTTATTGTGTTTTGCTTTCTTGTGTGGGGGGGACTTTCTTGTGCCAAAGGAGACTGTAATGGTTCCCCTACAGCCCAGCCATAGCCATGCCTTCTGTAGTGCCACCTACTGGGCAAAAGCCAAGACCACTTTTATATCTCCTGATCAACAATACAGAGCAACCACCACCAGCCAAGCCCACCCTAAACTCAGCTGCAGGAATGGTAACTGAGAATGGTGTACAGGCTTCCATTCTCTAACTACACTCCCAGGAGACAGTTGGTGAGAGCCTAAGAACAAACCAACATACAATCATCAATTAAATACAAATACGAAAACCTCTCAGTGCTCCAGCGACAACAATTTTAGCTCACACAAAGAAACAAGAGAGAATGGCTCAAACAAATTACCAAGATAAAGATCTGGAAAACATTTCTGAGGAAGAAAAGGTATTGGAATTAATTGAAAAAGAATTCAAAAGAATGATACTTAGCTACCTTCAAAGGATTGACAGAAAGATCAAGGAAAGCAATGAGAACACAGAAAATACTTTAGAAGAATTCAGGAGAACACTACAAGAACAAACAGACAAAATAAATGCAAATTTTGAAACAATACAAAACATACAATTACAAATCCATAGGATTGATTCTAAGATTTCAAAAATGTACAATGCATTGAAAGGGCAAAGGAGGAGATTCCAAGTAACAGAAGTCTGAATCAATGAACTTGAAGACAGATCTCTCAATACTACAATGTTAGAAGAACAATCAGAAAAAAGAATGAAAAAATCTGAAGAAAGCCTAAGAATTATGTGGGACACTATGAAGAGGAACAACGTATGGACAATCTAAGTTCCAGAACAGAAAGAGACAATAAAAAAGTGTGGAAGAGTTGTTGGAAGAAAACTTCCCTAACATCACGAAAGACAAGAAGAGAAGCATACAAGGTTATCTTCTTGTACAAATTAATACACCTGCACATCAAAATAAGAAAAAGGAAAGTCAGAAAGATTTAGCAAACATTAACTCAAAGAAATGAAAATAAAATCCACAAACAAAATGAATTCAGTGCAGAAAATTATGTTGAAGAAATCAGCAACACCACACACACACAAACCACACAGCAAAATGACAGCAATGAATTCATACTTATCAATTATTACACTAAAAGTAAATGGATTAAATGCACCAGCCAAGAGACAGAAGAGAATGGAAAAGAAACTAGACTCTATCAATACGCAATCTGCAAGAGATACATAAAAAAGATGGGGACAGCCTAAGTGTCTATCAACAGAAGAATAAAAAAAAAAAAAAAAACTTTGGTTAGATACATACAATGGAATACTACACAATGCTGAAGAATAAAAATGCATCTACAAAACACCTCACAACATGGGTGAACCTGGGGGACATTATGCTGAGTGAAATTAGTCAATCACAAAAGGACAATATTGTTGAGGCCAATGTTGCAAAATGTTAGGAAAAGCTTTTCTTTGATGGGGGAGGGCGAGGGAAATTTATTCATGGGCTAGAGGGTGGACACATGTTAACACAGTGATATGACAAGCAACATACAACAAGACAGAGGTTAGCAGAGGAAAGATGATGGTAGCAGGAGACATACGGAAGAATGCAATAGTTACATGATACATGCAATTAATGGTACATGGAAAGGATTGCAATCATTGCAATGAAGCAAATTATAAGATTTGCTGAATGCAAAATGGATTATTTCCTCTCTAAACCTTCACACTAGAAAGTTTAAAAAATAAATGAATGCGAAGTGAGGGGAAATACACAAGAATGCCCAAATTAGCAGACAGTACCCATTTAACCTAGCCTTGATGGCTTGATAATCAGAACTCTACTAGAGGAAGATAAAAAAAAAAAAAAAAAAAAAAAAAAATTGGTGGAAGGAAATGAGTGTAAATTGCAACAGTTTGATGAACTTGACCTTAAGGATGTAATCGCTCAAGGTACCAACTGAGAGAGAAGGAGTCTTCACATCAAATATCAATCCTATCCCATCTGTACACAGGGTAGATAGGGACAGGCAACTTAGACATTGGCTACCTAAAATGAGGAGGCAATAAAGGAAGGAAGTGACTGGCTTACTAGTTTTCAAAAGGGAGTTTAGTTTAAGAGTGTGCAGGGGGAGGGTAGAGTCCCCATTGAATAGTTTTCATCTTGTCTAGACAGCTCTGGTGAAAGGAGATGGGGATAGGATTCTTATGATTCAATAGTGAGTAACTGTTATCATGACTAATTGCAACTGTCACAACTGTAAAGGTAGTGTTTGTGTAACAAAAATGGAGGAGTAGTTAATCTTACAGTCCAGAAGCAGAGGACCCTAGGATCATCAAGGGAAAAAAGCACAGGCAGAATGCAGGACCCTATCCAGAGAAGCAGCTGGAGGCAGAGATGGGGACATAGAGAGAGGGAGCAGCTGAGGACTCTAGATTCATGGAAAGAGAGGGGCTGGGTGCTGGCAACCAGGAGGCAGGCTTGCAGAATTGTTTAAATTATTATATATTCCTGAGTATTTCTGTATATATCCACCCCCTAAAACACAAAGGGAATGGAAGCAAATACTATTGATTGATGATGCACAGAGGAGATTATAATTATTGCAATGAAACGGTGGTGTAAAGCCGATATTCTCCCATGTAAACTATCACTCAGTTCACAATAAAAACTTAAAACAACAACAACAAAACTGTGAATAAATAAATGCCCAGAAAAAGAAAATACCATGGCTTGGGGCAGGCACACCTTAATCCTTAAACCGACATCTTTGCTTTTAAACGCTTTAAAGAGGTCTTTTGCCGCAGATTAGCCCAGTGCAATACATCATTTGATTTCTTAACTGCTGCTTCCAGGGGTGTTGATTGCAGATCCAAATAAAATGAAATCCTTGACAATTTGCAATCTTTTCTGTTTTTCATAGTGTTGCTTCTTGGTCCAAATACACCCCTAAGATAGTGATTGAGTATTTTTGAGGTGCATTGTTGGGACATGTATTTCTTATAAATAAGTGATTAGCTGGTTTGAGTTCAGTAGCTCTTAACTCTGGTTGTACATTCAAAAAGTTGTTAGCTGTGTTTGTATTGGCTCCTGACTCTTGGAGATGCAGTGTATAACGGAGCACAATGCTGCCCAGTCCTGAGTCATCCTCATGATGGGTTGTAGACTGAGCCATTGTGATCCATACTGCTTTTGTTGATTGCTATTGAGGAATCCTGGTGTGGTGCTATCGGCTAATCCATCAGACTGCAAAGTCATTTGAAGTACAAGGTTGGTTCAAGTTCACCAGCTGCTCCTTGGAAACCCTATATAGGGTCACTATGGGTTGGACTTGACTCGATGGCACTTCACAACAATTGAGAAGTAGATGAGCAATGTCTTTTGCTAGTCCTTCTAAGTCTGGGAGCTCTGCTGAAATCAGTTCAGCATCATAGCGACATGCTGGCTCCACTGACAGGCAAGTAGTGGCGGCATAAGGTATACTGACGGAAAATCAAACTGGGTCTCCTGCATGGAAGGGGCGGATTCTACTGCGGAAACCCCACGGCCCACAAACAGTAGAAATTCTAGGGCAGTTTTACAAGGAACTCTGGTAGCGTAGTGGTTATGAGTCAGGCCGCTAACCTCATGGTCCCCATTCTGTGGGATAAAAATGAAACTTTATGCTCCTGTAAAGATTCACCGCCTCAGAAACCCTTGTAGGGTTGATAGGAGTCAGAACCGACTCCACAGCATCCACCACCATCACCACCAGGCCGCTTTAACAACACAGGTGCCTGAGCCCATCTCCCAAGGAGTACGTTGGGCTTGGTCTGTGGCAAACCATAGGCATTAGTGGTTTTAAAGGCTTATAAGGTGATTTTAGAAACTAGAGTCCTGATGTGGCACTATAGGATAAACACTGGGCTGAAAGGTTGGTTTAAAATGAAAGATCAGTGGTTCAAACTCACCAGCTGCTCCTCGGAAACCCTATACAGTGTACTATGAATTGGAATAGACTCAGTGACACTTAACAGCAACAACATACAGGGTCACTGTGAGGAACCGATTTGATGGCACTGAACAACGACAACAACAAAGGTGATTCTGGAGCTCTGGTGGTGCCCTAGGTTAAGTGTTGGGCTGCCAACTGCAAGGCTCCACCTACCAGCCACTCCATGGGAGAAAGATGAGGTTGTCGGTGCTCATAAAGACTTAACAGTCTCAGAATTCATACGGGGCAGTTCTACTCTGTCCCCATAGGGTCTCTATGAGTTGGAATTTACTTCAGGACAATTGAATTTTGAAGGTGATTTCAATATCAGCAAGAGTTGAGAACCACGGTGGAGGTGAGATATAGGAAAACTGGCAAGAAAAAGCCAATGTATTCTTACCTGCGCAGGTTTCACCTGGTCTACCTGAGAGACCTGGAGGGCCAGGTGGTCCAATTGCCCCCACTTCTCCATAGTGGCCAGGGAAGCCAGGATCCCCTGGAGGACCTGTGAAAGGTAATTACACATAGGAATGTGCATGTAAAAAACATGCATGTAAAATCTATGTACACTTAATTATTGTGAGATTTGGTAAATATGTAATTTGACTGTTCTGCAGTTAGTTTGTTTTTTAATCACGTTTTAAATGAATCAGCATAGGCCATCCCTTCTTCAGGTGTGCAAACTTTGAATGGAGGCTTGTCTGTCACTGATTAAGGCCTGGATGGTACAAAGGGTTAATGCATTCTGCTGTTGTCTGAGAGATTGGAAGTTTGGGACCACTCAGACGTCTAAGAAAGCCCCAGCAATCTACCTTCAAAAAAAATTAGCACAGTTCTAGTCTGACAAGCATGAGGTGATGGTAACTGGTTTAACTGCATTGTTTTCCCCTTAGTGTTAGCATCTTGTGGTAGACAATAATCCAATGGTTTCATACATTTTTTTAGCAATTAAAAACCAAAACAAAACTATTTTCTGAAAGGTGACATACTAAAACCCCAACATACTGTTTATATACTAAAATAAAATGTGGTCTCTGATGCCAATAGAGACAAACAAAGGGTACACCCCAAACTGCACAAGTATTGTTACATATTCATGGTCAAGTTTAGGTATTTGCCTGTCTAAGATGCAAGCTATGAAAATACTGGAAGAGATGCATTTGCCAGGGTGACTCCAATGCCATTTATGGAGGAAATGAATGGAACACAAACCTTTGAATGGAGCAGGTGGAGTTACCAAAAGACCTGGTGGTCCTGGGTGTCCACGGTCTCCAGGGTCCCCCTGAAATCATTCATTCACTCTTCTTAGAAACAACAGTCTGGCTGGCATTAAACAGACAGTAGAAAGACCTCGCATGCAATCACATAAAGATCATAGGCTGGCTAGAGAAATGAGCGGCTCATAGAAGTCTCAGAGGAAGAGTGATGCATCCAATCTCCCATCTACAATCAGAAGCCACTGACCAACTGGTACAATATGCACAAAAGAAAAGTTACTCCAAATTACTCCATGCCCATAAATTAGATTCTTCTGACATGTTAAATTTCCTCAATATGCTAGAAGTATTAACCTTTAACTGTCACTCCAGGATCAACAACTGGCTTACTCACCTAGCAAGATCTGAATATAGATTTTATTTTAGCAACAAATACTGCCTTCCCCTCCTTATTCCCTTACTGCCTACATGGCTTGTCCTGAATGAGCATGACACATGAACCCACAGAGGTGACAACGAAAAGGAAGATATGCAGTCATGCTACAGGGAGATGGAAACGGCGCCCTTCATTTTTTAAAAAACAGTATTTTGTTGTTGTTGAAAATGCACGTATCAGAACCCACCCACACCAATTCCACAATTTTCACACGGACACTCAGTGACAGCGATTACATTTGTCAACTTGTGCAGCCATTTTCATCTCCCTGCTCCTAACTGTTTGTTCCTCCCCATGAACTAACTACTCCCAGATTTTCTACCTAAAACAGCATCAACAGTTGCTGTTGTCAATTTGATTCCAATGTAGAGAGTTCTTTAAAAGTGTACCATGCTCCAGACAGACATTCGTCACTCATTAAAGTCAACTGAAGAAAGATTCACTGCCGTCCTATTGGTTCCAACTCATAGTGACCCTGTCTAGGGTTTCCAAGACTGTAAATCTTTATAGGAGCAGGAAGCCTCATTGTTCTCCCTGGGAGTGGCTAGCTGGTGGATTTGAACTGCTGACCTTATAGTTAGAAGTCCGGTGCTTACCCATCAGTCTGTCTTGGAAACGCTGTAGGGCAGTTCTTCTCTGTCTGGAAGGGTCACTATGAGTCCGAATGGACTTGATAACCGTGGGTTTTGTTTTATGGCTTCGTTTGAAAAAGACATGAGGGGGTATTTTTGGTTGAAGATTTCAAGATTATCTCAAGGCAATCGTTTTGGTGACTCTTACAGTCTCAAAGGTTCCAGAAAGTCTGGATTCCATGAAAATTTTGAGATTCTGTTCAGTATTTTCCCCCTTTTGGTCAGGATTCATCTATAGAACCTTTGCTCAAGCTCCTTCATTTGTAATCCTGATATTGTTTTAACCCTGTCCTGGTGTGGTGCTGCAAGATCAGCATAGGACTGCTCACTGCAAGGTCAGTGGTTCAAACCCACCAGCTGCCCCTGAGATACCCTCTACAGTGTCACTGTGAGTTGGAACCAACTCAATATCACTTTACAACAACAGCATGGACTTTTTAAAGTTTTCATTATGATTCACCTTCTAAAGGATCATTTCTCAGACATAAAATGTAATAATTACAACATAGAGTGTTGTTGTGTGTTTTTGAGTAAGGTCAGACCTATAGCAATCCTGTATCAGGTTTGTGAGGAGCAGCTGGTGGATTTGAACTGCCAGCCTGGAGGTCAGCAGTTCAGCGTTTTTCCTAAAGAGTTGCACCACAACATACATTAGAGTAATATAAGCAAAATAACCTCTGTCAGTGGTTAAAACACTCCACTGCTAATGGAAAGGTTGGTGGTTCAAATCTACAAGCCATTCCAATGCAGCAGTCTGCTCTGCAAAGATCTGCAGCTTTGGAAATACTGTAGGGCAGCTACATTTATGAATGATTCTTAGTAAGTTCTTATTAAATCTTGATGATTTAAATATACTTTAAAAATACATTAGAGAAATGCAGATAGGTCTCTTGTGATACAGTAGTGAATAATTGTTATCAACACTGATTGTAAGGGTTGGAAATGTAAAGGTAGATGTTTTGTAGCAAGGACAGAAGTGATTAACTTTTCAGTCTAGGAGCGGAGGTCCCTGGGACCATCAAGGGAGAAGAGCGGAGAGCAGGACCCTACCCAGAGAAGCAGTGATACCTGAGACAGAGGCAGAGACGATGACGTGGAGAGATGGAGCAGCTGGGAACTTTAGACACAGAGAGGAAGAGGGGCTGTGTGCTGACAACCAGGGGCCAGGCTTGTAGTGTATACCCTTTGGTTGGTTGATGATGCATGGAGGGGATTGTAACCACAGCAATGAAATGATATACGATAGGATGAATGTAAAACTAATGTTCTCCCATGTAAACTATCACATAATTCACAATAAAACATTAAAATAAATGAACCTAAAAAAACCCCATATATAATAAATAAATAAATAAATAAATAAATAAATAAATAAATAAATATAAGGAATAAATATATATACATTAGATAACATAAAGGACATAATATTTTATTAAGGCTCGACTCCAATGAGCTCACTATTTTACCTTTGAGCCAAGAAATCCAGGTGGCCCAGGATGGCCAATCAGTCCGGGTTCCCCCTACAAACAACCACAAACATGCCTTTGGTAAAAATGCATAAGTAAAAAACAAATGTGATTGAGTGCCAACTTATCTCATTTGCATTTAATTAGAATGATCCATGGTCACTGAGATGCTGGGCAGCTTTAACTCTGAATAGGGATTGCATTTGACTAAGTCTTGTATTTTAGGACTTGCACCCACAGCTAAATCGTGCGATTCATAAAATGAATGTGTCTGCTTTTCCAGTTACATGCTTCTGAGTGTGTGCGTGTGAACAATACAGTTGTTTGGGCATGCTGAAGTGCCTTTACTAATGAGAATGGATTTGTCATCCCTATAATGGTGAATGTTTACCTTCAATCCTGGAAAACCCGGGGAGCCATAGGAACCAGGGTCACCCTAAGAAAGGTACAACAATTAACACAAGCAGAATGAAATAAAAATGTATGGACCAGTTCATGCATCATTTTTCCCCTCATGAGATTGCTTCATCTGCCAATGTAGATGCATGAAAGCAAAAGCATCTAACACAGATTTCATTTCTTATCATATTTGCTTTTTTAAGTGGACTTTGATTAGTCTTATTCATAAACTTCATGTCATTGCCATCAAGAACATATTTTGTTAACAGTTTATTTAACTAATGCTTGCCCTGGGCCAAACAGCTTTGAAATCATTGCAATATACTTTGTCTGGAGATTAACATTTGCTCTGTGCTTTAACAATATTACAAATTAGCACGGAAGGCACTCTTGTCCCATCAGGTACTCAATCTAGAGCCAAGTCAATGCAACCAACATCTACTGCAGTCTGGCCTCTGTGATGATTCTATGCAGAGGGATGTCCACTAGTGACCTAATGCTGACATGTGGGCAGATGTTGGGTTTTTTTTGTACTGGCTACTGCCTCAAGAGCATCATCTTATTTTATCAGATAAGTAGAAATGAGCAATGACAAGCTAATGCCAGGCTGACACAGCTAGTCAGGAAATGCCATGACTCCATTGCAGCCCACCCCCATGTCCCCACAAATTATCTTCTACTTTCTTCTTGGTGTGGCACTGTAGCACTAGACTACAAACCACAAAGTCTCTGGATCAAACCCACCAGCTTCTCCTTGGAAACCCTATACAGGGTCACTAGGAGTCAGAACCAAGTGGACAACGCTAAGCAATAACATTATGAGAGATGCTCTTGGAAGTTTGGCTACTACACAATTCTCACCCAAAATATATGGTTCTTATCTGAGGTACGTTCTCCCTCTTAAGCATATGGAAATATTGATCTAGTCTTGTTAAGTGCCACTGAATTTGAACTACCGGCCTTGAAGTTAGCAGTCTTGTGCTTATCCTACAGTGCCACACCAAGACTCCAAGTCTTACGTTGTTGTTGTTAAATGCTGTGGAGTCGGTTCCAACTCACAGTGACCCCATATAGGGTTTCCAAGGAACAGTTGATGGACTTGAACTGCCGACCTTGTAGTTCGTAGTTCAGTGCTGATCCTATGTGGAAAAGAAAAGCCTCCCAATGTTCTGAAGCTAACAGGGGTCTGAGTGATTCTTACCGGAGGTCCTGGAAATCCAGAAATGCCCTTCTCTCCTTTCTCCCCAACGCCAGGTTTTCCCTTTTAAAGATAACAGTCGAGGCATTCAGGGAAACATATTTCAGCAATATGTAAAGCAAAGACAAAAATGCTTTTCAACTGCTTAAAGAAAATGTAATTACTTTAGAATACACACCTGATACAAGAGTGATAAACTAGTGACAAAAATCTAGCAATACACATTGGCATTTAAAACAATGATAAGAGACATAAACTTTGTTTTAAAATTAATATATCACATCATACAAATGAAAAAGAGAGAGGGAGCGTATTTAAAAAAAAACTACCTTGAGTCCAAAAGGTCCTGGCGGTCCAAGAGGTCCAGGTATCCCTTTTACACCCTGAGGATTAGAATGAAGAGAATCTGGTTTTCTCCTATCTTTTAGTATATGGAATTCACTCTTTCAGAAATCTCCTCTTTTGATAACCTGTTTTATTCACATTTTAAAAATAAGGGATTGTTCTTCAACTGACATTAATTAGCAATTGAAACTCCACTCAGATTTCTACATCAGACACCAGCAGGTCTGTTCTATGTGGGAAACACAGATGTGGACCGCTGTAGGACCAGGACTGTGAATGCAAGTTAAAAATGCAGAAGTTAAGAAGAATGATGAAAGGCAGAAAAATTTAACCCAGTAGCCAAAATGCAGAAACAGAATCTTCTAAAGGAATGAAGAATGGTCAAGGGTCTTCTAAAGGGTCAGCTCCATGCGTTTGTTACCATTTCAATGACCAAATACAACTGGGCTTCCAGTGGCATCTGTAACAACAGTATTGGAGGCTGGCAAAAGAACAAAGATTTGACAAGAGTCTTCTATGGGTTCTACTCTATGCATTTGCTATCATTTCAATTCTTAAAGTGTGAAACCCAATAATTAATTGGGCTTCCGGTGGTCTTTGCAGCCCATCGATCAAGGATAACATTAAAAAAAAAAAATTCACTGCCTTCAAGCTGATTCCAAATCACAGTGATTCTGCAAATCTTTACAAGAGCAGAAAGCCTCATCTTTCTCCTGTGGTGCGGCTGCTGGCTTTTCAACTGCTGACCTTTTGGTTAGCAATCCAATGCTTATCTACAGCATCACCAGAACTCCTTAAGGACAACATTGTGGTGTGTGGCACTGTAGGATCAGCACTGGACTGTGAACTACAAAGTTGGCAGTTCAAACTTACTGGTCATCAGAAATTGTATATAGGGTCTCTATGAGTCAGAACTCAATAGCACTTAATAACAACAAGAAATGCTATCAAAACAGTTCCAACTCATAGCAACCTTGTATAGGATTTCCAAGGAGCAGCTGGAGAGTTTGAACCGCTGACCCTGTGGTTTGCCGTCCCGTGCTTATCCTATAGGGTCATACCAGGAGTCAGTGGGACATTATGTCTTGGAGGGCATGCCACAATTTAACACCTTTAGCTAAGCTCTCCTACTCAGCCGCTGAGTAAACTGAGAACCTTTCCAAGGCTCCCATTTCTCCTCCATTGTTGTGAAGTGCCATCGAGTCGGTTCCGACACATAGCGACCCTGTACAGGGTTTCCAAGAGTGTAAGTCTTTATGGGAGTAGAAAGCCTCATCTTTCTCCTGCGGAGTGGCTGGTAGTTTCGAACTGCTGACCTTAAGGTTCGCAGCCCGATTCGTAACCACTACGCTCCATAGAATAGGGTAATAACTTCATTGACCCGGCAAGATTCTTGCAGGTTTAACATGGTGATGTAGGGAAGGTGCTCAATACTGGGCTGGCACAGAGTTAAGTGTTCAAAAAATTTTCACTACTGCTACTTTACCCTGGCCAGGTATGGGCTTGGGATGATTACCTTTTCTCCTTTAAAAAGACTAGAATCCGGTGGTTCGACCAATAGTGTTGGTCCTGGAGAACCTTGCTGGCCAACTTCTCCCTTAAAAAACAAATCAAGATAATAAGAATTAATATGAAATGTATAAATGAATACATTTTTTGTTTTGTTTATTTGTGAAAAATAAGATGTGAAAGGGAAGTCACAGAGTAGAAGCCAAAGTGTTGTTACAGAACGAGGAGTGTAATCAATGAAATGAAACAAAACCTATGATTGGTTGCAAGAGAAAAATAAAGAAAAAGAAAAAAACAAACAATCTAGGATGGTTACAGGTCAGGACAAGGAAAATTATTCACAGGCTAGAGAGTGAACATGTCGACAGGGATGGCATGCAGACAACATACCACAAGAAGGAGGAAAGATGAAGGTAGTGGGAGGCAGAGGGAAATGTAATATTGAAGTGAATAGAGGGAAATACTGTTAACTGTTGGCAAATGGAACGGATTCTAAGCATTGCAATGAAGCAAAGTACACAATTTATTGCATGTAAAACTGATCATCTGTTCTGTAAACCATCTCTCAATTCCTAATAAAATTTTAAAGAATCAATATGAAATGTATATTTTGAAACAAAGGAGACTTTTATCCATATTGTGCTTCAGGGCTTACAATCCTGTGTGCCATGGATCTAACATGTAAATTAACACGTCATTTTAATTCATATTTACTGATTTCCTAATAAAAATTGAATCCATGCTTATTGCTAAAAATAAGATTTAGGGCTTCTGGTTTGGGCGATAGCAGCAAAAACCAGGTAGGGAATGCTCCATTGTGAAGGGATGGGGATCCCACAAAGGAATCACTCGTAGAACAACTCCAGAGCTCCTGATCTACCATAAGATCCAGGACGTCAGTTTCCCACACTCGCAAATGAAAAATCACTATAATGAGGAAAATACTGCGAGTTAGGAATCTGGAGATGGCAGCCATGCCGCCCTGGCAGAGTTTAGAGGGCGGGGCTACAGCCAGTTCAGCTCAGAAAACCTGTGCTAAAAGCAGTGCAGAGACATTTGCAAAAAAAAGAGGCGGAAAACTACACATTTCTCCCTCTTTTTCCCTGTCCTGCCTTCATTGCTCAGCCCAGACAACATTAGGCGGGACAACTTTCTCACGGTTCAGAGAGAGGAAGCTTGGTGGTGACTTATGACATCACCCACAGAGACACAACCCTAAAATTTTCTCCAATGGGACCACTGGCAGCTGTGCACCCTGGAGTCGGTTCCAACTACAGGCGACCCTGTAGTTGGTTTCCAGGGCTGTGGGTCTGTGCAGGAGCTGAACACCTCATCTTTCTCCCATAGTACGGCTGGTGGTTTCGAGCTGCTGACCTTGTGGTTCGCGGCCCCATTCGTGACCACTACGCTACCTGAGCTGCCTACGCAGGACCCATACAAAGTAATCTGTAAAACCCCAACATAAAAGGACTCAACACATGCAGATACCTAACTGACCTTCAGAGACAAAAATAGTGGACAATCTTTCTCCCATTAACTGCTCAATATCTACCTGCACACCTCTACCGTAGTGACTAAAGGAGGGCCTGAGAGAGTGGACACCCTCACCCACTGATGGAGGCTTCTGCCTTGCACACATACTGCCTGTGTAGCTCAGGACCGTCGACCACAGCTTCATCTCTGTTCCAAAGTGGTGGTTTTTGTCTCTGCATTTATATTACTTCTGATTTTGGTCCTTTTGATCACAAATCTTTCCTGGAGGTGGGAACTTTCTCTTCCTACATTACCCAAGAAGAGACAGCAATCATGACCATATAGCCAAGCAATAAGCATACTCCATAACAGTCCACCACTGAGACAAGAGCCAACAATACCTGTTAAGCATTACACGAGAAAAGGGAACCTATCTCCTGATCATAATCACCAGGTAAACTTAACAACAAACAACAAACATTCACTTAAGCTTTAATAAAAACACATAACTATCAGAAATGATGAACAAAAAACAACAAACAATATCGAAACATGTCCCAAAACAGAAGAGAGTAGCTGAGACAAATGGGCTAGATATAGACAAAGGTTTTTTTAGAGGAGGAAGAATTCAGAAGAATGATATGGAAACAAATTCAAATGCTCAGAAAAGGTGTGGAGAAAAACAAGGAAGAAATCAGGAATGTACTACTGGAGCAATCAAATAAGATTGATACAGCATTGAAAACAATTCAAAACCTGCAAAAAGATGTCCTGATGATTAATAATAAGATATCAGAAATGGACAATATACTGAAAGGGGAAAGGAGCAGAATAGAAGAGATAGAAGCCAGAACTAGCGAGCTGGAAGACAAAATCTCTCATACTGCAAAGAAAGAAGAGCACACAGAATAAAGGATAAAAAATCTGAAGAGAGTCTAAGATTCATGCTGGATAACATGAAGAGGGACAACTTAAGAGTTACTGGTATTCCGGAACAGGAAGATTCAGAGAAGTCCACAGAGGGAACAGTTGAAGAGCTTCGGAAAGAAAATTTCCCTAACATCTTGAAAGATTAGAAGATAAACATTCAAGAAGCCGAACATACCCCAGGAAGGACAGACCCCAAAAGAAAGTCACCAAGACATATAATAATCAAGCTCTCCAAAATCAAAGACAAAGAGAGAATAGTAAAAGTGGCCAAGGAGAATAGAAACGTCACTTATAAAGGCAAGCAAATCAGATTACGCTCTGACTCTTCAGAACAAACCATGCAGGAAAGAAAGCAATGGGGAGACATACACAAAGCCCTACAAACAAAACAAAACAAAAAAACTGTCAACCAATAATCGTCTAGCCAGCAAAACTATCAATCAAATACGATGGTGTGATCAAGATATTCCACGATAAACAGAATCTGAGAGATTTTATCAAAACCAACCCAGCACTTCAAAACATCCTAAAGGGAGTTCTGTGGACTGAAAACCAACAAGAACAGACAACAAAAAGAGATTGACAAGTTCCACCTGGAACTTAGTCAATAGATAGCAGAGTCCAGAACAGAACAAGACTACAACAGCAAACTCAAAGGAGCTGGGAGGTCAACTGAAGATCAAAATTATATCAATGTCAAAGAAGGGACAAACGTAGCAACAGCGATTCAGGTGATGAGGATGTCAGGTAAATTACAGGATACAATGGATTCTCTTAAATGGAGAGAAAAGTTAGTAGACTATAAGGTAACACCAAAGAAAGTTAATACTTCACACTTTACCATGAAAATGAACTTCCAAGCAGAACAAGCAACAATGAAAACTAAAAAGAAACTGACAAGGAATAGCACAAAAAATACAAAGCCAACATAAGAAGGCATGCAGAACAAAAGAATGAGCTGCACTACCAAAAAAGTAACATAATGGCAGCAATTAATTCATACTTATCGATAATTACATTGAATGTCAATGGATTGAATGCACCAGTGAAGAGACAGAGAGTGGCAGAATGGATAAGAAAACAAGACCCTTCAATTTTCTGCCTGCAAGAGGCACACCTTACACACAAAGACAAAAACAGACTAAAAAAGTTAAAGGATGGAAAAAAATTTTACCAAGCTAATTGCAACAATAAACAAGCAGGAGTGGCAATACTAATCTCCGAAAAGTAAACTTTAAGATAAAAACCAGTATAAGAGACAAAGAAGGACACTATCTGATCAAAAGGTCAATTGAGCGAGACGACATAACCATAATAAATATCTACGCTTCCAATGAAAGAGCACCAAGATACATGAAGCAAACCTTACTAGAATTGAATAAAGAAATAGACAAATCTACAATTATAGTGAGAGATTTTAACACACCTCTTTTGAAAGGGGACAGAACAACCAGAAAGAAACTCGGCAAACTTACAGAGGAACTAAACAACACAATCAACCAACTTGACCTCATAGATATATACAGAGCATTCAATCCAACAACAGAACAATATACATACTTCTCCAGTGCACATAGAACATTTTTCAGAATTGACCATGTCCTAGGTCACAAAGCGAGCCTCCATAAACTCACAAACATCAAAATTCTACAGAGCATATTATCAGACCACAATGCTATAAAAATAGAAATCAACAATAAGAAGACTAAGACAATAAAGTCAAATACAAGGAAATTGAACAACATCTTACTGAAAAGCGACTGGGTAAAAGAAGAAATTAAATGTGAATTCACAAAGTTCCTACAAACAAACCAAACCAACATAATATACCAAAATCTTTGGGATATGACTAAAGCAGTGCTGAGAGGACAATTTATTGCAATTAATGCACACATCCAAAAAGAAGAGAGAACCAAAATTAACACATTAACACAGCATCTTCAACAATTAGAAGCAGACCAGCAGAGGGAACCTACAATCACTAAAAGAAAGGAAATAATAAAGATAAGAGCAGAAATAAACAAGATGAAAAACCGAAAAACTATAGAAAGAATCAACAGTACAAGAAGCTGGTTCTTTGAAAGGATTAATAAAATTGGCAAACCATTGGCAAAACTAACAAAAGAAAAGAGGGAGCGGACACAAATAACTCGCATTAGAAACCACATGGGCAATGTCAAATGGAACCAAACAAAATCAAAAGGATAATAACAGAATACTATGAAGAGTTGTACTCCATAAATTTGAAAACTTAGAAGAGATGGATATATTTCTAGAAAAATATGACCTACCCATACTTACTCAGAATGAAGTAGAACACTTGAACAGACCCATAACAAAAGAAGAAATTGATCAGGTCACCAAAAGACTCCCAACCAAAAGAAGACCAGGCCCAGATGGCTTCATGGGTGAGTTCTACCAAGCATTCAGGGAAGAACTGTCATCAATTCTACTCAAATTATTCCAGAACATAGAAGAGGATGGAAAACTCCCTAATACTTTTTATGAAGCAAGCATTACCCTCATCCAAAACCAGGGAAGGACGTCACTAAGAAAGAAAATTATAGACCAATATCCCTCATGAACATAGATGCAAAAATTCTCAACAAAATCCTAGCCAACAGAATCCAACAGCACATCAAAAAAAAAGAAAGAAAATACATCATGAGCAAGTGGGTTTCATAAAAGGGATGCAAGGATGGTTCAACATTAGAAAAACAATTAACATAATCCATCATATAAATAAGAAAAAGGAAAAGAACCACATGATCATATCGATTGATGCAGAAAAGGCATTTGACAAAATCCAACATCCATTCCTGATAAAAACACTCAACAAAGTAGGAATTGAAAGGAAATTCCCAACATAATCAAGAACATATATACAAACCCAATAGCCTACATCATTCTCAATGGAGAGAAACCGAAAGCCTTCCCTCTGTGAACAGGAACCAGACAAGGATGCCCTTTGTCACCACTGCTATTCAATATTGTGCTGGCAATTTTAAACAGAGCTATATGACATGATAGAGAAATTAAAGGCATCCAAATTGGCAAAGAGGAAGTAAACTCTCCTTATTTGCAGACGATATGATCCTCTACATAGAAAACCCCAAAGACTCAGTAAAAAACTACTAGACCTCATTGGAAGATTCAGCAAAGTGGCAGGATATAAGATCAACATACTAAAATCAGTTGGATTTCTCTATAGCAGCAACGATAGCACTGAAAAGGACATTAAGCAAGCAATACCATTTACAACAGCTGCCCAAAGGATGAAATATTTAGGAATAAATATAACCAGAGAAACATAGGACTTATACCAAGAAAATTACAAAACACTACTACAAGAAACAAAAAGAGACCTACAGAAGTGGAAGAACATACCATGTTCCTGGACAGGAAGACTCAACATCGTGAAAATGCCAGTACTGCCCAAAGCAATTTACACATACAATGCAATCCCAATCCAGATTCCAACAACATTCTTCAAAGGTTGGAAAAGACAATTACTAACTTTATATGGGAAGGAAAGAGACCCAGGATAACCAAAGCACTGCTTAAGAAGAAAAACAAGGTTGGAGGTCTCTCACTCCCTGATTTCAAAATTTACTATATGGCTACAGTGTTCAAAACTGCCTGGTACTGGTACAAAGAAAGATACATTAATCAATGGAGCAGAATCAAGAATCCAGAAATTAGCCCATCCACATACAGCCAAATGATGTTTTACAAAGTGCCTAGGCATATTGCATGGGGAGGAGACAGTCTCTTTAACAAATGGTACTGGCAGAAGTGGAAAGCGACATACAAAATACTGAAACAGGACCTTTACCTCACGCCCTAAACAAAAACGAACTCAGCATGGATTAGAGATCTAAATGTGAATCCTAAAATTATGAAGGTCATCAATGAAAAAATAGGGACAAACGTGAGGGCGCTAATTCAGGGCATACCCAGGTAACCAAACATTTTGAAAACTACACAAACAAAAATAGACACAATAGATGAGTGGGACATGCTAAAAATTAAAAATGTATGTGCGTCATAAGACATCACCAAAAGAGTCAAAAGGGAACCCACAGAATGGGAAAAAATGTTTTGCAATGACACATCAGATAAGGGACTCATTTCTAAAATCTATTTCTAAAATATATCGATTCCAACCCATAGCGACCCTGTATAGGGTTTCCAAGGAGCAGCTGGTGAGCTTGAACCACCAACCTTGCAGTTCAAACGGCTTTACAGTCTGGCACATTAACCCACAGTGCCACACCAGGACTCCTAAGAGCAATAACAATTAGTAAATAATTCTTTGGTGCCTTTCTGAGTATTATTATTTGATGCTAGAGTCATTGTCCCTTGAGTTTCACAGTTAAGAATAGTCTGTAAAATAGATCACTTGCATTTGCAAACCAGGTCTTTATCCAGTAAGTTGCTATGGGGTAAATTCCTTCAAGTCCATTTCAGCTCTCTTTTTTCTTTAACTCCTCAAAGCATCACATTTTTGATATTATTTCTAATATCACCTTCCTCTAAATTACTGAATAAAATACTTGCTGCCACTGTGAAGTGCTGGCTTCAACTCATAGAGACCCTACACTTAACTACACATAAAACACTTCCTAGGTTGAGTGGAATGAAGTAAATGTTTAAACACATAATTACAAACCAATTTAGCTATTGCTTGTGGGGGCTTTTCCTAGTGGTTTAAGTCATGATTGTTTTTAGTAAATGGGAGTTTGGGAAGCAAAAGAATACTGCAAGAAGCTTTTATTTTTTTTTTAAATCGTTTATTGTGATTGGGTGAAGATCTACAGAGCAGATCAGTTTTCAATTCAACAGTTCACTTTGTTTCATCTCATTGATTGAAATGGAACGTCACTTCCTCCCTGGGTTCCCTGTTTCCTAACCCTTCTGAACTTGGTCCTTGGGTCAATGCTGCCCTTTTGATCTTAACTAGTTGATCTCAGGTGTGTGATTCTCCAGGTGTGACCCTTATCTATTGTTTGGCTGACAATTGAGTGCTGGGGGTGAGTTCAGTTCCAAACCCGGTGGGTGATGAAAGGGTCACCAGTCTCTGGCTGACCAGTAAGTCTGCTCTTTTTGGTGTATGTTTTTGTTTGTTCTGTTTTTTATGATTTTGAGTTTTGTCCACATTTTTCTCCCACTCTATCCAGGACTTTCTAAAGTGATCCTTTTTGATAGCAGTTGGTAGTGATAGCTAGGTACCAACTAGGTCTTCTAGTCTCAGGGACAAGTAGCATTTTTATGTGAAAAAGATAAAAGTGAGAAGCCAGTCATAAAGTTAAGCACTGACTAGAGAATGACCACGCATTCGATAGGAGCTGGAACAATGATTGCATGGACACATTCCAACGCTAGCTTCCTTCGGCAATGCTGGTTCTTACCGGGTATCCCTTTTGTCCCTTGACTCCCACGCCAGGATTACCCTGAAAATGTAAAGAAGAAGAAGAAGAAAAGACATTTCTCTTAATTTTCCAAAAAAGCAATTAATAACAAGCAAGGCTTTCAGCTTAGTAATGTATTGAAGATGCTCTAAATTTTTAATAGTGTTTAGTTTCACAGCGACATGACACGATCTCATTTATGGTGCAAAACTGAGAGACTCACACACACACCTTGTTTTATGGTACCTCACAGATAGTGCGCTTTCTAAAAATAGAAGGTTTGCAGCCACCAACCACACTCTGAGCAAGTCTATCAGCACCATTTTTTCAACAACATGTGTTCACTTTGTATTTCGATGACACATTTTGGTCATTCTCACATTTTAAACTTTTTCAGGATGCTACTGTACACTTAGTAGACGAAAATGTAATGTAAACGCCACTTTTTATGCACTGGGAGACATTTGTGTGACTCGCTTGATTGTGATATTTGCTTTATTGTGGTGACCTGGAATAGAGCCTGCAGTATCTCTGAGGTCTGTCTGCCTGTATTTTGAGTTTCAGTCTAATCAGGAAAGGAGCTCTGTCAGTAGCTGGAAGTTACAAAGAGAAATGACAGGTCAATCATTGGGAAGTAATGTTGTTTTCCATTTTTAATCTGGAAATAGGGAAGTTGAAGATGTGCAAAATATTAGACATTCTGTGATATGACATGATAATAAGAGTAAAGGTATAACGTTAATAGTATTATTGTTGTTAAGTGCCATCGAGTCAGTTCCGACCCATAGCGACCCTGGATAGGGTTTCCAAGGAGCGGCTGGTGAGCTTGAACCTCCAACCTTGCAGTTCAAACAGCTTTGCAGTCTGGCGCATTAACCCACAGCACCACACCAGGACTCCAACTCTAATAGTACCAAGTATCAATTATTCCATTGTACCTGGACTTTGCTAAGGTGGCTTACTTACTCTTGGCTGCCTACCTTCAAGCCTGGTCTCCCAGGATGGCCAGGAGGTCCCTAAATCAATGGTGAACAAACATAGAGCAGTGATTAGTCGTAGACACAAGAATGTTTCTTCATTGGTTGCCCCAAATTCCTGTGTGAGAGAGAAAATGCTCAAAACATTTTCTATCACAGACAGACAGTTATTTATGAAGGTGATAGGGATAGTTGATCCTCTGGGACCTGTGCTTTCAGTTAGATTTCCATGAAAACGATGGGTCTGTGTTGGTTCATCAGGTTATAATCTCTCAAAGAGCCCCCTTGTCCTCAGCCCAAGAGGATAATGTTTTTCTTTACTTAGCATCAATTCTAAGTACTGAGGATAGATGGATGTACTTACTGTTAAGCCTGGCTCTCCTGGATAGCCCATTGGGCCTGCTGGTCCACTTGCTCCCCTAGATCCCTAAACACAGAAAATATCGGTGCATTTGCTACCAAAAATGATGCCCATGTTTCAAAGCAAGAGCTTTATGTAATCCCAGGTAAATAAAAGCCCAAATCAGTTACCATCAAGTGTACTCTAATCTTTTATGGACCCATGTGCGTCAGCAAAGAACTGAGCGCCCTAGAGCTCCCAGAGGCTGATTTTCCAGAACTAGGTCATCGGGCCTTTTTTGAAGGCCTCTCTGGTCGGACTCAGACCTCCCACCAAATGATGCTGAGTCAGTTTCATGGACATGGAAACTATGCAGCCAAACAAGATCCCATGTTTGGTTCAATGTTTTGACATCAACATCTTGAAATTCCTAACAGAGTTTGAACAAGGAACCCACATTTTCATCTTGCTCTGTGCCCCACAAACTACATAGCCAGTTTTGCTGACGATTTCAGGAACACAGCAAAACAAATAAAAGACCTGCTCAGGACTTACTGGGAAGCCGGGAGGTCCTGGGTCTCCTTTGTCTCCCTGCAACAGGAACACACATTGAGTTATAAGAGCAATACAGTTTTCCAAACCTGGAAATGATATAGAAATAGAAATATACATAGAAAACATGCTGATTTGTCTAATGGTGATGTTTGCTTTGTTTTTTAGTGTTGAGAAGACACATTTGGAAACGTTCTCTGGAGGTGATTCACTTTTTCATTCTTAGGCTCAGAAAACTACATCTGCTCAGCCAAAGCCAGATAATGAGAGCTGTAACTGCGATCACATAAACTTCGAGAAACTTCCTCTTCTAGCTAAGAATGTTCTCAATTATCAGTGCCACTGCTTCACAGATTAACTGTCTCTGGTCTAATGTTCAGATCTCATCTTGTTTTACAAACAGTCGGCCCCATTGACCATCCTGGGGTAGACATAAAGTAAACTGGTGTGTGGTTCTGCAATAAAACTCAACCTATTTCAAAGAATTGAGGAGTATATATATATATGTTCTCCTGAATTCAGGCATGTAAAAGCATTGCTTCTCAAAGGCTATTGATCTGCCGACCACTTTAATTGGATGAGAAATTCTCCGTAGAATGATTTAAAGTTAAAATATTGTAATACAAAATGCTTGCCATTCTGTAGAATAAAAGTCACTGATACTGAACGTAAAAATGATGAAACCTTTACAACACCGTCTTTGATAAATTAAATATTTTTGTGCTTTAAGCAGGGAATGCCAAACAAACATTCAGAAATGAAGTTTCGAGATACTACCTTGTCTCCCTAATATGAGAAGCCCTTAGTATGTAGAAGATCAACAGAAATGATGAGTCAAGAGGAGGCACACACAGTACATTTTCAAGACATGACCATTTCTCTTAAGGAAGAATATTGTATACCATGGAAGTAAAATTAGTACTAAGCTTTGTCTATTTAAAACCCAAACCAGACCTGCTACTGAGTAGGAACTAACTAACTCATAACAACCCAATTGCACGCAAAAGAACTACTTCCTAAGGTTTCTGAGCCTGTCAATGTTTACAGGAGCAGATGGCTTCATCTTTCCCCCTCAGAATGCCTGGTAAGCTTGAACTGCTGACCTAGAGCTGGCAGCCTAACATGTAACCGACCGAAATCACCATGGTTCCTTCTGTTTTATCAGACCCTACAGAAACCCACAAAAGTGTTGGCTATCGAGAACAATGCTGCAGAATTTTCCATCATTTTCGGGCTCCATATCAATAACTATCAATATACTGGATAGGAAGTATTCATCTTACTTTATCTTAACTATAAAATAATTCAGTGGTTCTCAAGTGAGTGTGATTTTGAATCTTGAGGCCATCTGGCAATGATGGCAAACATTTTTGGGGAGGGGCCACTGGCATCTAGCAGGTTGAGGCCAAGGATGCTGATCAACATCCTATAATGCACAGGGCAACCCCCATAACAATGAATGATCTAGCCCCAGAGGTCTTTAGTGTCCAGGTGGAGCAACACGAAAATAAACATACCCCCTGCAGCTCTGCAAGATTACTTGGGCAGTGCGGGAATTTTAGAGCCCAGGCAATGAAAGGCACTGCCTTCTCGTAAGGAGCATTGTGCTTATCTGTTCCATGGGTCAGATAATCACAAACACCAGTATGCTCGGGACATTGTAAAGGAATCTCCTTACCCAGATGCTTCCTGTATGGGTTTACTTACCTACATGCAAATCAGTTTTTAAAAGCTCACCACAATCAGCACGCTTACCTGAAGACCTTTAATGCCACCTAAAATAAACACAGAATTTCCTTTTTCTCCAATCTCTCCTGGAAGACCCTGAAAATAAAATATCCATTTAAGAAGAAAAAACACATTGCCAATTCCATATTTTTCTTTTTCCTAAATGAAATGTTACTTATCAATAGAATGACCACCATAGTTATCTTACACTCATAGAGATTTCTCTATTTCCATTAGTATTTTTACCTAATATATATTTTGGGAAGTGTGGTGGCTCCGTACAATAAACACTGGACTTGGAACCATAAGGTCTGCAGTTCGAGACCGCCAGCTGCTCTGTGGGAGATTTAAAGCCTCAGAAACCCTATACAGAGTGTCTATGAGTCAGAACCAACTCGAAGGCACTTAACAACAACTATATATATTAACTTATTCAATATTCAATTAAGACTTATTAAAGAATATTCTAACATAAGATATTAATCTTTATAGCTATTTAATAATTATTCATCAAGAGAATGGCATTTCCCTCCCAATACAATGAATATGTATTCTTCTCTTTTTTTAATAACAAATCTTTGATTTATTTGAAGCATTTCAGTTACAAAAACTCACTTACAGCAATCACAGGAAAAACAGGGATCAGAAACAATAAAAGAATGATCAGGAGTATGGCATTTTTACGGTTGTTTGTTTTAACATTGTCATGACTTTATCTAAAACACAGTTACACAAAAGTATTAACTTCAAAGTTTCTTGAGGAGAGATTCTCAGGGAACTTAACACACTATATACATACTGCCATACAAAGAGCATTAAAATGGGACCAAAAACCTCTACAAAACATAAAACCCACTCTTACTTACTTGCTTGGAAATATCACCCACAAAGCTGAATAAGTTTTAAGAGTTACCTGGAGGCTCTAAAGTGTTGTTTTCAAACCAAAGAACTCTATTTTTGATTGCACAGTAAGATGATTGATAAGCAAGTCAATATATATAAATTTAATTTTTTTAAAATAACTTTTATAAGCTGGCATACTATGTGATGAGATTTATTAGGGATTGAAACAAAAGATTTCAATTGTTAAAGAGAGCTAAAATGTCAGTCTTTTGGAGATACCAATCTCCCACTAAACTGATCCTAAGAATTTCATTTCAGTGAGTTGTGCAACTTTTTAATTACTCTACAAATATCTCCAAAATTTTTACTCTCAAACTCAACTCATACATTTTAACTAAAAGTAATTTAAATATGTCCTAGTGTGGAAGAGTAACTTCAATTCACTTGCGGACATTAACTTTTTATAATTTTCTACAAAGATTCAAACCAAAAGGAAAATAATTTAGATAGCCAAGATTTAAAATGCAAGAGCCTCATGACAAAACTGAGAGGTGCTAGTTTACCCATTATATGTTTTAGTAGGCTTATAAGGAAACACATACAGGCCCACTCACATTTATCCCTTAGATGTTTCTTCTTTTAATGCCCAAGCATTTGAAAACAAATCTCAATTTTACTATTAATTTCCAAATATTTTCCAAACTACCATGTTATTGTTGATGTTATGTGCCATGGAGTCGGTTCCGACTCATAGCGACCCCGTACAGGGTTTCCGAGGCTGTAAATCTTTACGGGAGTAGAAAGCCTCATCTTTCTCCCGTGGAACAGCTGGTAGTTTCGAACTGCTGACCTTGTGGTTCGCAGCCCGATTCGTAACCACTATGCTACCAGAGCAGTTGTTGTTGTTGTTGTCATGTGCCATCAAGTTGGAACCAACTCATAGCGACCCCATGCACAGCAGAATGAAACAATGTCCGATCCTGGGCCAACCTCACTACCGCTGCCACATTGGAGTCCATCAATGCTGCCACCTAGCCAATCCATCTCATTGGGTGTCTTCCTCTTTTTCTCTGACCCTTCATCTTACCCAGCATGACATCCTTCTCTAGCGACTGTTCCCTTCTGACAATATGTCCAAAGTATGAGAGACGAAGCTTAGCCATCCTGGCCTCCAAGGAGCACTATGGCTGCACTTCTTCCAAAGCAGATCTATTGGTTCTTTTGGCAGTCCATGGCACTTTCAGTATTCTCCTCCAACACCACAACTCAAAGGCATCAATTCTTCTACGATCTTCCTTATTCACTGTCCAGCTTTTGCATCCATATGAGGTTATTGAAAATACCATGGCTTGGGTCAGGCGCACCTTAGTCCTCAAGCTGACATCTCTGCTTTTCAACACTTTAAAAAGTTCCTGTGCAGCAGATTTGTCCAATGCAATACATCGTCTGATCTCTTGACTGCTGCTTCCGCGAGTGTTGATAGTTGATCCAAGAAGAATGAAGTCCTTGACAACTTCAATCTTTTCTTCATTGATAAGAATGTTGTTTATTGGTCCAGTGGTGAGGATTTTTGTTTTTCTGACATTGAGATGCAACCCATACTGAAGGCTGTGCTCTTTGATCTTCATCAGTAAATGTTTTAAGTCCTCTTCACTTTCAGCAAGCAAGGTTGTATCATTGTATCAAAAGGAAATGGTTAATGTTCAACCATTTCAAGAAGTACCATATGAACAAGAGCCAATGATACTCAGGGAGGAAGTCCAAAGTGCATTGACAGAATTGGCAAAGAACAAGGCACCAGGAATTGATGGAATAAAAAACCAGAGCAGTAGATCCCAATTAAATGGTGTTATATCTGATAATCCTTGGTAAGTGCAGGAAGAATAAAGTTTTTATTCAGGAAAACAAAAAATATTTAGTAGCACATTATCCAAATCATTTAGGAAGCTAACTTAAAGTCTCATGAATTACCAACAGGCAATTACTGTGTTTTTTGAGGCACACTGAGGCTCCCAAAGCCTCCTTTGCTTCTTTTTTTTCCCCTTATCTATTAATCTGTACATGTTATCAACCAAAAGAGATTTAGTGTAAGCAGAACCTGTTACATAGAACTATATGGATAGTAACATTTCTATCTGAGAAGACACTCAATTTCTCTTGCTTGTTTAAAATTGGGACAAGTCTGAGAAGGTGAGTGAGGAGGTAGAAGACCAACGACCCTCCAGGCGAGCTACACGTTTCTCAACCTTTCTTTTTTGAAATAGAGGGAGGGGAGTGAAATAAGAAGGGAAGATGATCATAAAGAAATTGTTGAGAGGAAAAAGAACGTATACCTAAAAACAAATGATCTGTTATGTCATGATGTGCAGCCTGAAGAAAGGGCTAGCTCACCTGCACGTCTCTTAACTCAGTATAAGCAACTTTTCCTTCAAAAATAAAATCTTACAGTCAACTGGCTTAAAGGAGGTTTAAGAAGCCTCCACAAACCTCATGTATTGCTAAACAGAGCATTTACTATTCTGCTTCTGCTTTCTAAATAACTCTACAACAAATAATTAATTACCCAAATATCCATAGCAAAAAAAAAAAGTTGATACCTTCAAACTAAAGATCTCTGGATTACCTGTAAAAAATAACCAATTCAAAAGACTATTGTCATTTCATATTACATCTGGCTTCAGTTGGTTTATAAATAACTTTAAAACCTTGTGAATGAACTGAACTATACCATACCTTGTAAAAAGGTATCGTGTTTTAATCATGGCCTTAAAATGACTAATGCAGCAAGTGTGAATTAGAAAATGTAAGATTCCAATGTGGGGAGGGTCAATGAAAAACTTTTCTCTACATACATTATGGTCATTAACAGACTAATAAATCTTATTTGGAATGATAAAAAGGCAAAAAAAAAAGTAAAATCACACTATTCCTGTAAAAAGTTACATGTGATTTTTCTCTAAGGATAGCTATCATGAAGAAACAATGAAGACACCCAAGAATATTAGAAAGTCTGGTCTTTTAAAATGATCTAGTCATCTTTTTCTTTATCATCTTCAGCATCTCATTTTCTCTTCTCCTCTCTAAGACCTTCTTGCTCATTTTCCTCTTCCTCTCCTTCTTCAACATAGTCATCATCATCTTCTTCATTCAGAATTTCTTCTTTCATTAAGTATGAGAGGCCCACTTCCTCTTCTCCATCTCCAAATTTTAAGCCTGATTCATCCTCATCCTCTTCTTCTTCCTCCTCTTCTTCAAATCCTTGAAGAACAGCTTCTTCTTCTTTTCTTCTTCTTTTTCTTCTTCTTCTTCCTCCTCCTCATCCTCCTCCTCATCCTCCTCATCCTCCTCCTCTTCAGATGCTTCATTATCCTCCTGATCAAATCCATCTAAGCCTGTAAATTGCTGCAGCAGTTCAAAAATACTTTCTCTGTAATCTTCTAGGTTTGTGATCTCACAGTCAAACAAGTCAAGACTTTTCAATTTTTAGAAGATTTTGCAGAGCTTCTGCTATACTGAGATCTTTGATTTTGTTTCCACTCAGATTGAGGTAGGTAAGATTTGGATATTTCTCTGCCAGGACTTCCAAGTCTCCAGAAATACTAAGTTCTAACTTTCCAAGTTTATTTAAGCTGGGAAGTCGGACCAGTGAACTTAGTCCTACATCAGCCATACTCAGAAACTTCTTTAAAAGTATCATTTAGGCCCTCAATTTCCCCATTGTTGTTGTTGTTGTCAGGTGCCATCGAGTCGGAACCGACTCATAGCGACCCCATGCACAGCAGAACGAAATAATGTCCCATCCTGGGCCAATCTCACTACCGCTGCCACACTTGAGTCCATCAATGATGCCACTTGGCTGATCCATCTCGTTGGGGGTCTTCCTTTTTTTCTCTGACCCTCCACCCTACGCAGCATGACGTCCTTCTCCAACGATTGTTTCCTCCAGACAATATGTCCAAAGTAGGAGAGACGAAGCTTAGCCATCCTTGCCTCCAAGGAGCACTCTGGCTGCACTTCTTCCAAAACAGATCTATTGGTTCTTTTGGCAGTCCATGGCACTTTCAGTATTCTCCTCCAACACCACAACTCAAAGGCATCAATTCTTCTACGATCTTCCTTATTCACTGTCCAGCTTTCACATCCATATGCGGCTATTGAAAACACAATGGCTTGGGTCAGGCGCACCTTAGTCCTTAAGCTGACATCTCTGCTCTTCAATACTTTAAAAAGTTCCTGTGCAGCAGATTTGCCCA